CATAAGTAAATGATTACTAAACTGTTCAAATGACCATATCTTATTATTCAGGCATATTAGTAGTTAATTTGTATGTTAATAAATGCCAAAGTCAATAAATGTTAATGTTAATAAATGTCAAAGTCAACTTTATCCATTTTTGTGACCTAATCTAAAGTAAGGGCTATTTATGCTGTATAAATCACTTCTAAATGACAATTAAAGGCCCAGTTATATTCTAAACAGGAAAAAATAAAATAAATCACTTTTGTATTTAAAGATTCACAAATGAAACTGTATCAAATAAAAAATAAATATTTGCAATCTTAACTTTTAAACATCTAAACATTGTTTAAACTACGTTTAAACACATCTAAATAACACTGAAATGTTGCATCATATATATTTCTAAATTAATATATTGTTAAATGAATTATATTGTTGTTTTTTTGCCAACTTTGTTGTTTTTGGCGATGTATAAATGTTACAGTAATTTTATTATTTAAATAGGATTGCAAAGATGCTTTGTTCATTTAATACTAATTTAATTGTCATTTATAAGGGATTTATAAAGCACAAATAGTCCTCACTTCAGATTAGGTCACAAGTAGGAAGTTGTGTTAATAAAGCATTTATTAACATACAAAATTAACTATTGATATATGCCTGAACAATAAGATGTATAAAAGTTTATTTCAATTTCAAATTAATAATTTACCAACTCATTCTGAACAATCTTAAAAACCACCAACAACTCTTAAATACAAATGGTTTGTAAATAATGTGTTAATTTAGTCATGAAAAATCCATCAGTCACAAATTATGAAAGCACAATGATTAAGCACATTATACATGTGCTGAAGTCAAGAATACAGCATTGTAAGCTGCAGTTATGAACTGCTTGCTAACATTTATTAATGTAGAGTAAATGATTAACAAATAATGAACTCACTATTTGCTAATGCTTAATAAATGGTTCATAGTGTGTAGTTATTATAAAGTGTTACCGAAATATGCTTAAAATGGCTCTTTTAGTTCATTTAGGATAACTTCAAAAGAGTTCAAAGAGACTTTGAAATGTACGACACATAACAGAAATTTATTATCAGACCTTTAAGTTGAAGTTAAATAAAGATACAAATGTATTTAAAGTTTTATTTAATAAAAAAAATTATATTAAACCAACACAATTGCATTTATATATATTTTTAGTTGGTGCTAAACAGTTTTCTTGGATGGAAATTAAATTCATCCAATGAGTTATTTTATTTTATTTTTTAAATATTTTATTTAAAAGTTTTTTATTAGTACAAAACAGAACCAAAAAACATTTTTACAATCTATAATACTTTACACAAATTATAACAAAAAAATACAGGAAAAGATTAAATAAGTAAATTAATAAAAAAAATTTAAAAAATAAAAAAAAGAGGGCGACACCGCGGCGCAGTTGGTAGTGCTGTTGCTTCACAGCAAGAAGGTCGCTGGTTCGAGCCTTGGCTGGGTCAGGTGGAATTTCTGTGTGGAGTTTACATGTTCTCCCCACGTTCACATGAGTTTTCTTCGGGTGCTCCGGTTTCCCCCACAAGTCCAAAGACATGTGGTACAGGGTATCTATCCATCTAGTTCTTATTCAGACACAGGGTAATAAAACAAGAAACATACGGACCGTTGACTAGCCTTAATAAATTAACAACACTACAGTAACTACAGCAGAAAGTATAGTAACAGTAATATTGTTTTTTTTTTGTATTTAGTTTCTCCTTGACATGGAGGTCGTCATGAGGGGAAATAAGACTAAAGACTGCAAGATACGAGTGCTAAAAACACCCCAGCCATGAAAACATCAACATCTCTGACTCTCATCTCCACATCACATAAGACCTTTCAGAATATTCAACCGCAACTGAAATCACTGTCTGTCACTAGATGGCACTACAGCACAAACCATGAGTACTGTATATAGAACAGAATTGGGCTGTGTTCGAAACCGCATACTCAATGAGTAGGTATATATATATATATATATATATATATATATATATATATAGACAGAAGCGATTCTTTTAAACAACAAAATTATGGTGGATGACTTTTGAAAAATATTTTGTTTGACAAAATAATTTTTAAATAATTTTAATTGAATAAATTAAAAGTATAAAAAAAATTTAATTTGAAATTTTACATCAATTCCTATTTTATATTTTTGAATTAAATTGCATTAATATAATTATTTTGATCATTTGTTTGTTAGCATGAATTTAAGATTTGCATTTAACATTAACTTAGATTACTACTAAAGCCTG